CCATGATAAAAGTGAACTAATATTGACCAGAAATCATTTTTAACTTAATCTTTGGATGCGGTATCTGCTGCTCAGCAGGAGATCTTTTGGTGGAGGGTGGCCAGAATAATGCCTGCTTCTTATATTTTTAGCCAATTTCCCAACAGTGAATCAATCCAAATACTCAGGTTTTACCTTTAATGGAGCCAGTGTTTTACATGCATTGGGGCAAACACATGTGATGTGTATTTACTGTATATAGCGCATTTACCATGTGTGGCCATACACCCGAAGCTCTTCACAATAATGAGGAGGGGTCCTCTCCACACTTCCACTAATGTGACATATTCACTTGGATGATGCGAAGGCAGCTATAGGAGGAGTAGAGAGACTGTGATAGAGCCAATGGTGTGTATGCGAATGATTATGAGCCCATGATAATTCGAGCCAATGAAGGTAGTTTGGTCAGGACACCAGTGTTACACCCCTACTCTTTTACGAGAAGTGCCATGGGATTTTTAATGACCACAGAGAGTCAGAACCTTGGTTTAACCTCTCATCTGAAAGTAAGCATGGTGTCTTATTCACTTTACTGGGGCATTAGGACTCAAACAGACCGCAGGCTGAGTGCCCACTGCTGGCTTCGCTAACAACACTTCCAACAGCAACCTAGTTTTCCTATGTGGTCTCCCATACAGGTACTGACCAGGTTCAGCCCTGCTTAGCTTTAGTTTGTACCCGGTCTTGGGCTGTAGGGTGACAAAAATGACCACAGAAAAGAGAAATAATAAGATATTAATGCCCTCTTCCTGCTTAGAAGCAAATTTGCATATCTGGTCATACAGAACACCACCATAAATCAGATCTGAAATACTTTTCGAACAGAAAGTTTAAAGTTTATGCAGGGACACCATGTGCTCATGAGAATAACATTATACAAAGGACATTAAATTGCTGGTAATTTTATGGGCTCATCATTAGAGCAAAATTCGTGAAGCATTGTGCAGCATCCAATATGGAGAAAATGACCTGTGCAACATCTGAGCATAGGCTCATTGCAGCTATGTGAAATAGTGAGCCCATGTATATGGAGAAATGTCCATTAAAACAAGCTCTGGGTCATTGTAAACTAATGCATGCTCTTCAGACTCGAGATTTGTACTCTTTCATGCCACATCGAGTGGCTGAATGCTCATTGTTCAGATTTTCCTTTCCTGTGAGCAAGTCCTTGCAGATGTACTGTATTGAATAATAGAGGGGAAAATAATGTCAAGATACATTTGTGATGGACCCCTTGTCATTATAGTTCAATATTCAGTTTGCGAGGTAATGGAGAAGAGAAAGCAAATGAGAGGAACGGGGAGATGGAGTTTTGTAGCTACTTGTTTATGTCATGCCTTATTGAGTTCTGTATCAAATTGCGTTCAGGTCTTGTCTGCTTGTTGATTCTCATTGGTCTCAGGTTCTTCAGACTACATTTTAAACCATTAGTACAGCGATGTGTCTGAAATGATTTAGCATTTATATGAGGGACATGTTTGTCATGGTTATACTTCGTAGTAAAGGGCGCAGGTCAGACATCTCAAATGCAACTTGGATGCAATGAGATGATTACACCCTACTGTTTCTCACTCTCACAGCTTTATTATAGTTTCTTCTTGATCTGCAAATATTGTGCTATTTGTTATAGTGTGGATTTTGTTACCAAATATCATTTGAATAAATGTTTGCTGATTTCTTACAGAATAAATGTATTGCAAATGCATAATAGATCTTCAGAATTAACATGAAAATGTGAAATTAACAATGAATTAACAATGAAAGTGAGAATTAAGTACAATTCAGCATAACTCTTGGAAAGACATTTTGCAAAACCCATTGAAAATATGCCTTAAATGTCATGCTGATGACTCATAATGACCATTTTATATGTAAACCTGAAAATGTAGTCATTCATTTCAAATTTATTAAAATGCTGTATCATTTAATGACTTGTCAAGAGGTTTTCAATCATTGCAATTATGTCTAATGCATTACTTGGTTCATGCAGTTACGTAACTACAGAAGAAGTGGCACAAATAGTAAATTGGGGCACTTAAGTTTTTGCTTTTAAAGGCATTGTTCAATCAAAAAGAGTTTCTTTCATCATTTACTCTGCATCTTGCTGTTCCAAAATCTCATAATTTCTTCTTCTTAAAAAAGCTATATCTGAAAATGTCCTCCCCACAGCCTCTTCCCCAATGTAATTATGGATGAAATGCAGTTTTGATTTGTGTTCTCCTAAAGAAAGCAACCACATTTTGTGCAAGTACACAATAGAAGAGTTTTGTTTGTGTTTGAACAAACCCTTTAAAATTTCCTCACTTCAATACTGCATGTGAGATCAGGCAAATGGTTAAAAATGGTTTAAAACATTTTTGTGTGACAATTTAGAATCCGCACATGTTGTTCGGTTAGGCTGTTTTTGTGTCGTGCAGATTTTCCATTAAAGCTTATTTTTTTCATCAGCTTATTTTTTTTCATCTTGCAGGGAAAAGGTGATTCGCAGCCATTATTTTCCTTGCATGTAATCTACTTGCACAAACGATAACATATTTGGATTTGAAGTGAACACACTGTTAATGGTCACATTGTCATTTTTAAGAAAAGAAAAAATACAAATGCTTGGTTTAACATACTTGATATATGTGTGTTATTTTTATCAGTTAAGAACTCAGGAAGAGCTTATAAAATGCCATAAATCCATCTGTTGCACACTATATCGGAAGATCTGCTGCAAGGATGCAGTTTCCAATTCTTGTAACAGTAAACCAAACTTTGTGTTTCTTTGCATTGCCGCATTTTGTGACATAAGCTGTTCTTGGTTGATTCAGATTTGTTTGGTTTGGATGTCAGCATTCAAAAAAATACATTATTTGAAAACAAACTGCACAGACAAAGCAGTGTTGGATATGTTACTTAAACTAATTGATAAAAGTTACTAGTTAAGTCTCATAAATAGTAATTGAGATAGTAATTGATTCACATCATTAAAAAATTAACTAATTGCCAGGGAAAGTAACTATTGTGTTTATTATGAGATTATTCATTCATTCATTCATTTTCTTTTCGGCTTAGTCCCTTTATTTATTCGGGGTTGCCACAGCAAAATGAACCGCCAACTTATCCAGCACATTTTTACATAGTGGATGCCCTTCTAGCTGCAACTCATCTCTGGGAAACTATTATGAGATTATGAGATTGTAAATTGAATAAATTATTATTATTAAACAGTATACTCTGTTCTATACTATATATTTATTGTATGCTGCTGTGGCATGATGTTAGAGATATCTGTCAAATGCAATGTTTTATTGTAAATATAATTTATATAGTGGAACAATGAATCTATAGTAAATGCTTTAGAACTGAATAATATTTATTTATTGAAATGTTTTGCACTGACCACAACTGGCCAACAAATAAATCTAAAAATAAAGTATGCTTCTTAAACAACTAGGAGGTCTTTTAACTGTTTTTATTATTTGCAGTTTAATGAGTTTCTTAAAATAAAACGCATATTTTAATTATTTCCAGACCTTTCATAAATATGTGTGTATTGCTTTCTAAAACTGATGTTTTATTAGAATCACCAAACACAGAAGTAATAAGTCTTTGAGTATTAAGTTATATACTGTAATCAAGCATATAATTAGCAGTCAGAATGACCACATACTGTACATTTCAGTATCTGATACTTTTCTCTGTGACTTTAAATATGCTTGCCTCTGTTGCCTAGCAACTTCCTGCTAATAAAAACATAACTTTCTGTTGGCAAAAACTTTCTGTTGGCGTAACTTTTCGACAGACATTCAAAGCTTAATTTTGATACCACAGTAGAAGCTTTGAATGTAAATATGATGCGACAATAAAACGTTTTATATGAGAATACCGATATGGTAATTCTTATTGAATTCTAGTAGTTCCAGTGTGAAACTAGATTTAGTTACTTTGATATACACCACCGGTCAACAGTTTGGGGTTTAAAGAAAATTATTTTAAAGAAAATTAGTCTGTTCATCAAGTAGCCATTTATTAAATGTAAAAAAAAATGTCAATTTAGCTTTTATTACCAATAATAATAATAATAATAATAATAATAATAATAATAATTATTATTATTATTATTATTATTATAGACTGTGTATACTGTGTTTTTAATTAAATAAATGCAGCCTGGGCGATGCGGTGGCACAGTAGGTAATGCTGTTGCCTCACAGCAAAAAGGTCGCTGGTTAGAGCCTCAGCTGGGTCAGTTGGCGTTTATTGTGTGGAGTTTGCATGTTGTCCCTGCGTTTGCGTGGGTTTCCTCTGGGTGCTCCAGTTTCCCTCAAAGTCTAAAGACATTCGGTACAGGTGAATTGGGTTAGCTAAATTATCTATAATATATGGGTGTGAATGGGTGTGTATGGATGTTTCCCAGAGATGAGTTGCAGCTGAAAGGGCATTCGCTGCGTGAAACATGTGCTGGATAAGTTGGCAGTTCATTCCGCTGTAGCGACCCTAGATTAATCAAGGGACTAAGCCGAAAAGAAAATAATTAAATAAATGAATGAATGAATAAATGAATGAGTGAATGAATGAATGCAGCTTTGTAGAGCAGGAGAAGCTTATTTTAAAACATTTAAAAATACTACTGACCCCAAACTTTTGATCGGTTGTGTAGTTGTGTCCTCTTTCATTTAAAAGTAAATTACACATAATCACCTGTATTGTTATCATCATTTATGTGGTTGTATCTCCCCCAAACACACACACACACACACACACACACACACACACACACACACACACACACCAGAGCAGGTCCTAAAGGAGTCTACTCAAACCGCTTCAGTGAGCTCAGTTATAGTACAATATATTAAATGAATAACACCACATTGTATTGTCAGTAACAGTTAATGTGTTTGTAATAGTCTTAAAAGTGAAATCTATAATGATATGAAGTATGATTTTATTCCCATCTCTCTATTTTGTTGTAGAGATTTGAGGTCCATCAGGACCCGATGGTGAGTGTGGCCCACATGGTGCGAGCCGGAGGTGGTGTATGGATGGCTTTTTCTGAAGGCTCTTCTATACGTTTGTTCCATACGGAAACACTGGAGCACCTGCAGGAGATCAACATTTCCACACCCTCGTCATTTTACAACCCCAGTGAGTAACTCTCCTTTGACCCAGTAAAAGGAGCCGTTTGAATGCCAAAACGTTTTCACGCTTTCACACATGCTTGATCAGCACTTGTTTCTATCTTTTTCTTTGAACCGCACTTCTCGGGATAAAAAGGTAATAATGGAGAAGTTCTTTCTGGAATGGTTCCTGTAGGCTGGCTCTCCAGGGACAGACCGTGAATAAGTAGCTAACTTAAGACCCCGCAGAGCAGTAATGGAGCTGCAGGGTTACAGGCAGGAAAAGTCACAATGGCACAGACAAAGCTTTCCATTCAAAGGGTTGCCATGGCAACGCTCTTGTCATGACTCCAGCAGCCGTGGCATGTTGGTAATGTGCCAGCATTTTGCCATTGCGCCTTTTCTCTGTGCAGCTGGTCTTTAATTCGTCTGCGTTCACATTTTTACCTCTCTGCACTCACCTTTAGCTGTCGTTATCTCCCTTGGGTCCTGTGTAATTTGTGAAATTCTTTGTGGTTCATGCCTCCTTCACTGCTACATTAAATACTACAGGAAAGATTATGAGACAATTCTCATTTTGCCTGGGTTTACAACTTAAAGTTGTTTTATTTATTTATTTTATTCTTATTCTTTATTTTACTTTTTTATTAAGTTTAAAATAAGATTGCTATTTGGATTTGTTTGCATAAAATAACATAAAGTATCTATATTATTACTTTATATTATACTTTATATTAATTTAGCTATTTTTTAAGATAAAACAATTCCAATGTTTTAACTTCAGAAGAATTTTGAATATTTAATCGAATAACCTTAATTTTTATCCACAATAAATGAAAATAGAAGAAATAATATAATTCATTCATTCATTCATTTTCTTGTCGGCTTAGTCCCTTTATTAATCCGGAGTCGTCACAGCGGAATGAACCGCCAACTTATCCAGCAAGTTGTTATGCAGCGGATGCCCTTCCAGCCGCAACCCAGCTCTGGGAAACATCCACACACACATTCTACAGTCAATTTAGCCTATACCGATTCACCTGTACCGCATGTCTTTGGACTGTAGGGGAAACTGGAGCACCCGGAGGAAACCCACACGAAGGCAGGGAGAACAAGCAAACTCCACACAGATACGCCAACTAAGCCGAGGTTCGAACCAGCGACCCAGCGACCTTCTTGCTGTGAGGCGACAGCACTACCTACTGCGCCACTGCCTTGCCCCGAAGAAATAATTTGTATATTAAAACATTAACATCAAACCCATACCCGATCACTACAACAGATACAGAGAAGCAGAATTTTCAGGTGGACATTATCAGTGTTGTGCTACAGTAGTTTTACTAGTGGTAACTAGTTACAGTTACTAGTTACTTCATTCAAAAAGTAACTCAATTATTTTATCAAATACTTACACCAAAAAGTAATGCATTTCTGTTCAAAGTCATTTTTTGAGCTACTTTTTCAAAGAACATTTTAAATGCTCCTATTAATGGCCTTATAACATCATTTAAGTGCTGCATGGAAAATCCACTGTTAATCAACTTCACTTAATTCATTTGCATTCTCACAACTAAAATACAAGACAGACTTAAACAAATTGTAATTTTCAAACACTAATTTATTTGTCACAAAAAAAATTTTAAAATCACAAGGTGATAAACCAGCATTTTAAACAAGACAAAACATAACAGCTGCTCAAAAATCAAATCTATGATTGAAATCTATAATTTTCTAACTAACCACAAATTAAACATGGTAAGTCAACAACTTGGTTTTGTATATTCAATGTGCAAAATCTGCTTATGTATAACAGCAATTAAAATATGTAAAACAACAAGAAATCACAGCATTTTTTCGGATTAATACAACACTATGCATTTAAATAACGTGTTCTGAAATATAACAAAAATGTGTCACTGTGCCTACTAAACTAATCAGTTTTGTTATACAGATAATAAATATGTGCTTATTTGAAACAACAGTAATTGTTTTAGTAATATTAACTAATGATAATAACGTTAATAGTCTCTCAATCTCTCTTACGCACACACTACCTCATGCACATTCGATCTCTCGCAAGCACATTTGGACTCTCTTGCGCACACTTGGTCTCTCTCATGCGCACACTTTGTGTACCTCATGCGCATTCTTTCTCTCTAGGTGCGTTCCTAATCGCATACTTATACACTATTGTTCGCCATTTTGTAGTATAAATGGTGTAAGTAGTACATTTACACTCAAAAGTCTAAAAATAATAAGTGCACTTTAATTACCCAGATGATACACTCATTCGACTGGTAAAATGAAGTGTGTAATGATGGACATTCCACGCACTCAACGACCACTGCTTTGCTCACGTAAAGTAAGGGGCGGAGCTATTGGGCGCACATGTTAGATAACTTTATTTTATCTTGGATTGCGAAAGCGAAATTCTCCTACGAGAGTCATTATAGCGCCTCCTGATGGTGAATGCGGCAATACTCACAGCAGGTATTATTTAGTACTTCGTTCATTTATTTCACAAATTTGGCAACCGTCAAACGTCATCAGGGAAATGGTTTAAATTTCCGATTAGTAAAAAAAAACATTAGTGCTCCATTTGGGATGACACTACATTCATATACTATGCTGTTGAGTGTGTAAGTGCATAAGTACAGTGCATGAGTGCATAGTGTACAGTGTGCCATTTGGGACACAGCTTCTGTTTTTGTTTGACTTTTGTCCAGTCTGGTGTGTCATACAGGACGCGTCTTCTTTATGTGGCATCCACCATTCCCACAATGTGTCACCGCTGTAAACAGGATGTGGGTTAGACTGCAGCTAAAATATAATTAACTTACCAAGTAACGGACAAACGTATCATATTGTAACAATAAAAATATGTATAAAGTAATGTGTTTCAATATTAGGCACTGTCAAAAGTAATGCCGTTACAGTAATGCATTACTAGTAATGCTGTATTGCCCAACACTGGACATTATACGCACCACAGCTACAGTAGCTTTCACTGTATGAAAGAAAATGTAAACACTCATTATATAACCATGCACACTAAAAAGTGTTTGCACATAATGTATCCACACAATACATTGTCACTTTCAAGAGTTCACACTTAGCTGACGATTGATAATAAAGCTAGTTTGGCGTGCTGTCCCGGGAGAGAGCCCTGAGCTTATAAGATCATCGAGCCCTGGGCACCCTCCCGTTGCAAGGCAAAGGGGAGTTTGAGCTCAGGTAGATCTCGATGAATCCCCCTCTTGCTTGTTGTAGCTAAGTGTCAGATATGGATGCTGGAAGGTGTACTCAGAGTTTAGGTAAAGTATTTTGGATTAATTGTTTAGAGTGCTTGTTTTTGAACTGTGGGAGGAAACCGGAGGACCCAGGGAAAACCCACGCGACTACGGGGAGAACGAGCAAACTCCGCACAGAAATGCCGTCTGGTTTGGAAAGGAATTAAACCAGGGGCATTTTTGCTGTGAGGCAACAGAGCTAATCGCTGGCCACCGTGACGCCCATTTAAAAGGAGGGAAAGTAGGGTGGGTGGGGGGGTTTCTTCAAGACGAAGATATTGGGATGAGAAAAGTCTGGTTATTTATAGTAAGTTAAGGATCATCTGATAGGATAATCAGTCGTTAGCTAAAGTTGGAACAGCTGTGAACAATCATAAGCACGTGATCCTCTCGAAATTTGTTTATAAATAAACTTCACTTAGTGTAATTCAGCATCACACATCAGGATATATGAAGTGAAAATTCAGACATCATCGCTCTAGTAGCTTGCAGAATGGTCTAATAACCGACCTTCCAGACGGTCTAATAATGTTTGATTTCACTTGAATGCGATTGTCCACATTAAGCTTTAAAAAAAGCCATGATTCTCTTGTTGTCACAGACAATTGCAATCAAGCAGAATGGAAAAGAGAAGGAGGAAAAAGAAACCCAAAGCGGTGTTGCAGACTTCAGGAACTGGCCAGAGCAAGTTAATATCAACTAGCCTGTTTCTACAACTTCTTAAAAACAAAGAGAGTAAAAGATAGACCTAATCAAACAATGAGAGCATCAAACATTTGGATCAAAGTTGCAGCTGTATTTCACAAGACACATAAAGGCAGAAAAGCTGTGGATTGAGGTGAAGACTCTTGTGAAGGTCGTGGGACCCTGAGGCTGTTGTCGAACTTACGCAGCAAGATGTGTTTAAATATGTAGTTCTTGTTGAGTGAGGTAACGCTCCCATTTCGTGTTATGTCGAGGGGTTTGCAGTCCACAGAGCACAAAAGTGAAAATAAGCTTTGGCAGATGCTTTTTTCCCCTCTTTTTTAACTCTAGGCCCAGAGAACATCCGGTTAGTTTTCCTGAATATATGCTAATCTGCAAGCATCACACATAGGAGGACTGATATGGTTATTTCAGATCAATGGTCTGCTAATCCCACAGGTTTGCTCCCGAGTGTTGGGTGATGAATTAATTATTGTCTTAAAGTCAGCCGATTATTCTGCAGTTTCTCCTCAGCTAGAAACTTCAGACACGATAATCAAGTCAGACATCTCCTAAACGCACTGAGGCTAAATCCATCCTCTCTAATAATAACAGGGAAAGTCAGATCCGTAAGGGAAAGGAATTTTTTAAGATAGAGAATTTTGTATACTTTAAAATAATCATTTAAAACAATCATATTATGCTCTTTTACAAAGTCTTGACAATGCTTGGTGGTTCAAAACTTTCGCTTAATTTAGATTATTACAATACCTTTCCAGCCTGGCAGAAACAGCGTGATTAGTTCTGGGTTTGATGAAGGCCTGCCAGCACATTGTGAGCTAGGCAGTGTTTTAGTATTGTTATGACCCCTGCCAAAACCTTGAGGTCAAACTTACCAGTAATTTCAATGCTATAACGTGCATACACTCACCGGCCACTTTATTAGGTACATTATAAGATTTCTAATCAGCCAATCACATGGCAGCAACTCAATGCATTTAGGCATGTAGACATGGTCAATGTGATCTGCTGCAGTTAAAACTGAGCATCAGAATAGGGAAGAAAGCTGATTTAAGAAACTTTGAACATGGCATGGTTGTTGGTGCAAGATGAGCTAGTAGAAAGGCAACAGTAACTCAAATAAACACTCGTTACAACCGAGGTATGCAGAAGAGCGTCTCTGAACACATAACATGTCCAATCCTAAGGCGGATGGCCTACAGCAGCAGAAGACCACACCGGGTGCTACTCATGTCAACTAAGAACAGGAAACTGAGGCTATTATTCGACAAGCACACCAAAATTTGACAACAGAAGATTGGAAAGACATTGCCTGGTCTGATTATTCTTGATTTCTGCTGGAACATTCAGATGGTTGGGTCAGAATTTGCATCAACAACATGAAAGCACGAATCCATCCTTACTTGTATCAATAGTTTAGGCTGGTGGTGGTGTAATGGTGTGGGGGATGTTTTCTTGGCACACTTTAAGCCCATTAAACCACAGCCCACCTGAGTATTGGTGCTGACCATGTCCATACCTTTATGACCACAGTGTTCCCATCTTCTGATGACTACTTACAACAGGATAATGCACCATTTCATAAAGCACAAATCATATCAGACTGGTTTCTTGAACATGACAATGTGTTCACTGTACTCAAATGGCCTCCACAGTCACTAGAACTTAATCCAATAGAGCACCTTTGGGATGTGGTGGAACAGGAGATGTCAATATGGACCAAATTCTCTGAGGAATATTTTCTCTACCTCGTTAAATCTATGGGTTAGGTTTAGGGAAAAGGAGGTCCGACCCGGTACTAGAAATGTGTACCTAAGGCCCCGTTTACACTAGTGCGTTTTAGTTTTAAAACGGCATTGTAGAATGAAAACGATCCGCGTCCACACTCGCGTTTTACCCAGCGTTTCTGAACAGCTCTCCGTCCACACCAAAACGCTGAAAACGCACATCACGTGACCACACACACACTCTCGGGCAAGGGCTCCAGCATTTCTACCCAGATGTGAGCTCTGCTGGATCTAATCTCACTATATTTGCTAAACGTGATATTTCATTCATGTTGTTGTCTTTATCTAACGACATAGGCCAATTCCCTGACTTTGGTCATTGGAATCTATTACGTTACTTGTTCACCGGTAACATGTTTTGGTTAAGCGCAAAGATAAGTTAATGATTAATCCAGGTACATTGACTGATCGCTCGTCTTTATTTCCTACAATGTATAAACTTATTGTATGTTATACTTTTATAATTATCGATTATTAAAACTGATATTCTGCAAAAGAGAGTGTGCGTTTCGTATTTTCACTGAAATTGAAAGGAGGCAGTTGTTATAGGCTCCGTTTTGTTATAAATATCCACACAGTGAAGATGACGCTCATATATGCAGCACGACGCCTCAACATTTCTGCTGTCTGTTAAGTTGCTAATATTAAAAAGAAAATAGGCAGTTCCTTAAATCATGTTTACATTTTATTGTTGAGAAAGTGAAACAACGTAGCCAAGGTGATGTGAATGAAGTTATAAAGTACACTGTTCCCTTTGAAGATTTACCCGTGTCCTCGGTATGTTTTCCATATCAAACTGAGAAGGGGGAGACTGCAGCCTTGATCAAACTTGCGAAGTCTTAACTTACAAGAAGAGGATGCGAGACTGAACTGTGTGTGGGCTACTTAATGTTGAGAAAAAGCCCCAATCAGATAGGCGAACGTTTGCAGCCCCGCCTCCGTTTTCAGATGTCTCCGTCTTTCCCCATCCACACTGAGACGGAGCAGCAGCGTTTTAGAATGAAAAAGGCCTCTCCAGCTTTTTCAAAAAGCTCCGTTTTCGGCGCTCGAGAACTCCGGCGTAGTGTGGACGGATGGCGTAACCGTAGCAAAACTTATGCGTTTTCAAACTAAAACGCACTAGTGTAAACGGGGCCTAATAAAGTGGCCGGTGAGTGTATACTAGCAAAATGAAATATTTGTAAAATGTTTGTGACATACACTCTAATGTATGTATGTACAGTATGTATGTATGTACAGTATGTATGTATGTATGTATGTATGTATGTATGTATGTATGTATGTATGTATGTATGTATGCATGTATATGTGTGTCTAGACCCCTTTACAACATTACCTTATAGTTTGTAGATCAGAGATACCCTAACTAGGGCCCACAGGCCAAAGTTAGCCCCTTGTGAACTTTCGATTTGGACCACCATCCCATCTGAGAAGAGAGGGAAAATGATGACAATGGTTGGAGACTTTCAATTCAAATTTAAAGTTACCCTTTGTTTGTTTGCTTGTCTTATTGTCAAAAGCCAACTGCAATTATATGTTTCAATTAAATGGTGTAAATGAATCAGATTTTGTTTAAATGTGCACACTGTCACCTGACAATACAAAGACTGTGGTGAGCAGATTCTGCTTGACTGATGTATTTAGCATTGAACTCTACTCTCTTGTAAATGTGATTGTGTTTTGATTGCAATAAATTCTCATGTAAAAAGTTAAACTGCATTAGTCAATACGATTTAAAGTATTGCAATCTATTTTTGAAATACTAAGAAATAAATTAAGAAATTGCACATGGCAAATTAAATGTAATATAGTTTGGTATATTCTACATTTGGTTTTTGGCCCTTTATACTAAAACATTTGGGCACCGTTGTTCTAGATCCTTTATATCAGTTTAAATGTATTCGTTATCTTCAAATAATTCAGTGATCTGCTATCAGTTCAAGAGCAATTTTATCATTCAATGTACTATCTTTATGTACAATGCTATGTTGAGTATAATACAGTATCAGCAGAAACTAATGAAACACGATTTCGTATATGGGCATGCAACTTTTGTTTTCTTACATAAATTGAAAGACTAGATGTAATATTAAACTGAACTCAGGTGTAATGAAAATTAAAATTCAGAAGTGAAAGATTATTGAATGAGGGAGAGCTCACCGGACTAAGATTCTGCATACTAATCATATTTAATGCAATCAGTAATTAACAATTAATTATATTCCGTGATTACATTTTACACTACTTTTTATGCGGTTATTTATACATACACTATTGTTAATTAATTGTATTTTTTATAATACACTAGTGTTAATAAATGCAACTTAAAAGGTTTAATTCATAAATGTATGGAAATTAAATAAAGATTACTGCTGTGCTTTGAATACATTGGCGATTTTCATTTTGCATTATCTACAGCACTGCACAATTTAACGTTATCAGATACATAACCCATTTTAATCTTAGATCTCGATGATTATGAGGCAGAAGTATGCATTATGCGTCAAGGACATCCAATAAAACATTTCCCCCCAATCGCCGGCATCTTATGTTTTCAGCATTCATGAATTCATTACTGTAGAGCTGTGGATTTATTTGACAATCTATTATTAAGACGATTCCTCCAGCACGAAAAAAAGAATGTATAATAATAAGTGAATGCTGTGCAGAACTCGACAGCTGACATTTCTAAGGAGGAGTTCTCCTTAATGCGATGCGTTCGCTAATGTTTTTTCATGACCTTCAGTGATTTTTTGGCGACTGACTGAAAATGCTTCATTTACACATTATCCAAAGACTTCACAAGTACTATAGCATCCTAAAGAGCACATGGCAGGGTAACAAATCAATTAGCAACTTTCCAATCGTTTATGGAAAATAGGCACCATAAATTAAGCAATCGGCCATACTAGTAGTCAAGGCTGTGTTACTGTATGTTTTTGATGTAATTATATTCTGAAGACCTAAGGGTTGGGGATTTGGGTACTTTTAATGAAGTCAATTAGTTCCGTGTTGCTTTTTGTGTAAACAACAATCTAAATGTTGTCATACCTGCACGCCGCTATAATTGACCAGTTAAATTAGCTGCAATAGGGAGGCAATCAGGGCTTTTAATCCACGTTTCCACAGAAAACATAATTGATTTAAAAGCAGAAATTAGTTTTTAAATATCCTTTGCACAGTTTGTTCTCTTTTTTAACAAGGGGATCATACTGTATAGTTAAAGCAAGCTTGAGTGAGTAATAGTGCTGCATGTGTTTTCTTTTGTTTTGAAGGTCAAAAGAGCATGAGGGTCACCAGCCTGTTGATTTGCCAGGGGCTGCTGTGGGTAGGCACTGCTCAGGGTATTATCATCACCCTGCCAGTGCCTAAGCTGGAGGGCATCCCCAAAATTACAGGTACACAGATGGTGCTTCTTTGTGGTGCATTTGTCCTTTTGGAAACTTTTTTCTGCAGTGAAAGGATGAATTATGTGATGATTCAAACAGTTAGGTCTTTGTTAAATAAATAGTTCACTCTAAAATGCAATTATTTACTGAACACAATGTTGTTGCAAATATGTTCGCTTTTTTATGGGAGACAAAGGGATTGTTTTGATAAATGTGTATGCCAATACTTTAAGCACCTGAAAGAATGAAACATATACTAAAACTACTGTAAAGATATAATTAAGGAGTTTAGATGCAAAAACTTCTAAGTGCCGTCAGAAAATCTTTGCTAAAATTGGCATTTATCTCAAGCTGTTGTGAGTAGTTTCAGTAATTTTATTCTTAGTGCATAGAATAGGTTATTTTCATTGTCTTTAAAGTGAAATAATTGAACATAAATATAGGAGGTTAAGAAAAATGTAAATTTTAAAAGAAATTTTCAGATGGGACTTAAAGGTTTATATATATACACTCTCAAAAAATTACTTGTGCTGCTTGTTTCAGCTACTTATATAAAACGAGTTGAATCAACACAATTCTTAAGTTGTTTTAAAGGACAACCTAATTGGTCAACCCAGGCTCATTCTGAAAACGTAGGCCAGCGGACGTTTCTGGAGACCGCGAAATACGTCCCGGGAGGTACGTATTTGTGCAGTTTTTGTTTTCGCAAATCAGCGAGAGGCCGATGTGGCGCTTTTTCGTATCTCGAACGTCTCTCGCGAGTGCGTTTCGCGCCCGCGCTTTTTTCGCGTCAACCCACCAGAGGCTGACTGACCGAATGATTGACTGCGTGACCGGCCAATGGGCTGACCCACCCTCCTCCTTCCCTGAACCCAACCAGTTTTACCGATTGACCCGCCCGCCCGCTCACTTCCCTAAACCCGAGCAACAATTTAGAAAAGCTGTCTACAAAAAGAAAAGCCCTCGTCTGTTTTTTTTTTACCACGTTTTCGGAATTCACCGCATTCTCACCCTGTTATGAACTTGTTCACTTTATTTTATGGATTCTGTTTTTGTCTTACCTGGTTTCTGGAACCGCTCTTCCCCGGACTCGAACCCAGAGGACTTTGTCAACTCCTCCTCTCTGCATCTGAAGTCCGCCGACGCATACGATGAGCTGACCGGACAAACTGACTGCAGCGGGAAAGCCCTCCACACGGAGGTAAGCGGTCAGCCGGCAAGCGCGAAAGGGAATGGCGTCACACCGCCCCGTAGCATTCGCTTAAAAAAATTAAATGCAGCCAAACGTACCTCACGGGACGTATTTTGCGCTCTCCAGAAATGTCCGCTGGACTACGTTTTCAGAATGAGCCTGGGACAATTACGTTAACTAAATCAATTTGTTATGGGACAGCATAAAGAAATTATGTGGAACCCATCATTTTTTACAGTGTATACACTCACCGGCCACTTTATTAGGTACACATTACTAGTACCGGGTTGGACCCTCTTTTGCTTTCAGAGCAGCTGTAATTCTTCGTGGCATAGATTCAACAAGGTACTGGAAATATTCCAGTAGATTTTGGTCCATATTGACATAATAACATCACACAGTTGCTGCAGATTTGTTGGCTGCACATCCATGATATAAATTTCCCGTTCCACCACATCCCAAAGGCGCTCTTTGACACATTGACACATTGACACATGACACATTGTCATGTTCAAGAAACCAGTCTGAGATGATTAGCGCTTTATGAGATGGCACGCTATCCTATTGGAAGTAGCCATCAGAAGATGGGTACACTGTGGTCATAAAAGGATAGACATGGTCAGTAACAATACTCAAGAAGGCTGTGGCGTTAACACATTGCTTAATTGGTACTAATGGGCCCAAAGTGTGCCAAGAAAATATCCCCCACACCATTACACCACCATCACCAGCCTGAACCATTGATACAAGGCAGCATGGATCCATGCTTTAATGATGTTGATGCCAAATTCTGACCCTGAAAATCCCAGTAGATGACCAGTTTATGAAATACTCAGACCAGCCTGTCTGACACCAACAACCAGGCCACGTTCAAAGTCACTTAAATCAACTTTCTTCCTCATTCTGATGATCAGTTTGAACTGCACCAGATTGTCTTGACCATGTCTAAATGCATTAAGTTGCGCCCATGTGATTGGCTGATTAGAAATATGTATTAACAAAGAGTTGGACTGATGTACCTAATAAAGTAGCCGGTGAGTGTACTGTATATTTAATTAAATTTTTTTTTTGTCCAAATATTTAATTGCTAAAGTGGAGATGATTTTCATGAATCTTGATGTTGATTAATATTTGCGTGGAAACCCTAATATGTTTATCTATAATCAGAGATTACAGAAAAATAATTGAACTATCATATGCCTTTTTAAAATGTGCTGGTTTAATGGTTTAGTTTCCATAAGATGCATTACCAAAATGAATCATCCTTATAGGACCAAAAAAAAAAAAAACCTTCAAAAGTTCTTCTTTTGTTCTCCACAGAATAGAAATATATATGCAAATGTTAATGGGAACTATGAAGGATGAACAAATTATGATCAATTTTTCAAGTTAATTTATTTCAAAGTAATTTCCGTATGCAATATGCACTTCAACATGTAATAATGCAAATCAGTTATCAAAGGTTCTTTCTGCTTTTTACTAATGAAAGCGATTTGTGATTTAATGTGGCCCAGGTAAGGGGATGATGTCCTTCAATGCTCACTGCGGGCCTGTGGATTTCTTAGTTGCCCTTTCCAGCACATTGTCCCCTGATCTTCTAAAACGGGACTCTGTGATAGAAGGTCACGATTCGGGCTGTGGAGTGGAGGACCGCAGCGACTCATCCTCTCAGGAATCCCTCCAGCAGCCCAGTGTTTCTACCCAGGTGGATGGAAAAGGGAAGGGACGGGGTGTTTTACTACAGTACCGTCTACGCTCAACCTCAGGGTTACCCGGACGGCCATTAACCGCACGAGGAGACGAAGCCTCAGACTCATCTCTAGAGTCTCTGGAGCACAGCATGGAAGATGGCTCAATTTATGAACTCAGCGATGATCCAGACATGTGGGTCCGGGGTCGACCCTGCGAGAGGGAAGGGGTGAGGCGGGACAGGGTCACCTCGGTCGCAGTCATTTCGGGAGGTAAAGGTTTCCGTCGACTAAGGGAGGGATCGGTGACAGCCACTATGGAAAGCACACTTATGATCTGGCAGCTTCCTCTCACTGTTTGAGCTGAAATTTGTTGATTTACTCATCCTCATGTCATTCCAATACCCTCTTGACTTCCTCTTGAATTTATACACCGGTCACTCTTTTCAGTTCAGTTATGATAAATAGACCATAATTGGGTTTAAAGCTATGTTGAATTGAATGGAGATACGAGGCTGTGAGTGATAAACTAATCGAACACAGTTATGATGGTCTTAGAGAACAGAGTATCCATAACTTTTACTGTTGTTTTTTTTTTTTTTTTTTTTTTTTGGTAATCCTTTTTTTGTCAGCTAGATTGCTGGTATGCTAACAAACAGCATTACAATATTTTGAAGTCACTGTAGTTTTATACCTCACAGCCTTCTCGTTCTCAATATATATATATATATATATATATATATATATATATATATATATATATATATATATATATATATATATATATATATATACACGTTTCTAAGCATAATAGTTTTAAAAACCTATTTCTAATAACTGATTTATTTTATCTTTTACATGATGACAGAAAATAATATTTTACTAGATATTTTTTAAGACACTTTTATACAGCTTAAAGTGACATTTAAAGGCTTAACTGGGTTAATAAGGTGAACTAGGCAAGTTATGGTCCCAAAAATGTTTTTTAAGAAATTAAAAACTGCTTTATTCTAGCCGAAATAAAACAATTAATACTTTTCAAGAAGAAAAAATATTATCAGACATACTGTGAAAATTAGCTTGCTCTGTTAAACATCATTTGGGAAATATTTAAAGAAAAAGAAAAAAATTAAAATGGGGGCTAAAAATTCTGACCTCAACTGTATGTATATATATATATATATATATATAATGATGCTACTCTTAGAAAGTTTTAGTCAAACTGATGTTATTAAGCATCATTGGCCATGTTACTCATGTTTCCTAGTTTAATAAATCAAACAACACATTTTTGTTTAAACTGACCAAAGTGGTTACTTCATTCAAGCCCGTAGTCAGGGGGGTGGGGGTTTGGGTGGTTCCAAAGACCTGACAGAGGTCCAGAATTTGTCCCATACATGAGCTCATTTGTCCTATTTTGACTGCTATGCCATCATAAATTGTAAAAAAAATACCTATGATAATAGCCTATCAAAGAAGTCTTTTACGAACAAGTGAAATTCTGTCAGCAGTTGCTTCAGTGTGTCTTAGTGTTCTGAAGTGCCAAATTCAGCATCCTAAATTCTGACAGAGGAAAGGTGAATGTGCTGGCTAGTTTGGTATTTGGCTAATAAATGACAATAGGCTGCAGTTTTTAATTTAAAACTTTAACTGATTTCTATTTTTTATTATATTCGTACGTTGTCATATAATTTTTTTTAAAAACAAGTATTTTTTTATATTTTTTTATTTTAAATTTTTTTATTTTAGGAAATGTTTTTGGTTCATCAAAACGTGTTGTTATAATGACTATCCAATAAGCTGACTCAGCTAAAATTAACGCTTAAAATTGAGCTAAAATGCAGAATTTATATTTAATAATTTAATAGAAAATGAGGCGAATAACTGCAAAAATGTTCACTTTTAGAGAAAAAGAGTACTATTCCGTTCAGCAAACTGGCTACGAGCCTGTCATTGATAATCTTGCCAGAGCAATAAAACCGAATCACTGAATCAAGGAGTTGAACTGGTCGAAAAGATTCTAAACCAAAGAATCCATATCAATTTTTAAGCTGGTTTCACTTGTTTGATGAAAAAATAGTGTATAAATATAAATATTGACTAGTTACTATAATTTAGTATAATTGGAAAGATTAGCAATTGATTTGTGTGACAAATTGTCCAACAGTTATGGCATCAATTGATTGACAATTTTCCCCTCCAGTAAACCAGTGAAACTAGATCATCAGTGAGATGAGCGCAATTACTGATTCAAGAACAAATCATCCTGTCTGATTTTGTGAGTCATTTGCTTCATTGAAAAAAAAAAAACTCAATAGAATGAGACGTATGGATTAGTGTAATGTAATGTTTGGTCAATAACTACCTTTGTGGTTGAAGTTTTGACTACAAGCCACAGCAATTTTTATACAGGCGTGTTTTAAGTGTCAAAGTCTTTTGAAACTGGATCATAGAGTCAATGAGTTGAACTGATGAGTGAACAAATCATCTAGAATGACTTTAAGTTGCTCAACTGATTCACTAAAAATATCTGACTCATTTAAATTATTTACATTTCAGACAGTACAGTCAAGATTTTCATTATTATAACACTTGATTGTTTCATCTCACAAGTTCCTATGCAAAGTTTAATAGTCTATAAAATTGATTTGTGTGATAAATAACAAAACTGCAAGTTGAATGGTGAAATCTTTGATGGTTTTCCTCTACAGTGGATGTAAAAGTGGATCATTGAGTTAAAGAGTTTAACTGAAAAACAACAAATGTCACACAGACCAATTTGTCAACATGCTCAATTGATTCATTGTAATGATCTGACTCATTTAAGACATTTTAGAGATCATAGCACACTCTTAGGCAGATTTTGTTGTTATTTTGGAGCCTGATAGCTGTAGTCCTCAGTAAGATTCATTATACTAAAAATGATGGCCAGGATGTTTGGAAGGAGCAAACTAATATGGGTTTGAAATGACATAAAGATGAGCACATGACAAAATCTTAATTTTTGGTTAAAACTAAGCCTTTTCACTGAACAAGTTGTACACAATATGACGTTTGGCACTGTTTCATTCACTTCTCCAGAAAAAAAGTCTCCTAAATTACCAGATCTTGAGATCTTAAGAAAGCCACTTCTTCCAATGAGAATATCTGCAACTAAAAGTCTATTAGTGACCGTACCTACATCTGGAAAGTCCTTCCTTTCCTGTTGGGAATCCTTATCCATGTATTAAATCTCACCCTTCACCATAATCAGGGTCTAAACTATTCAAAGCCAACATTTCCTTGAGGCTTTAGTGTGTCCGAGTTTTAGTGAATCAAGAGGCTTTATTCCCCCGCGTCTGAAGAAATCATATCATTGGAAAGTGAAAAGCCAAGTGAAAGGGGTTTCCATGCTTTTTGTGCAGTCACCCAGAGAATACTCTCACCCTTTGACTTTTGATAATGTGAACGCATGATTCAATGTCGAAAGTCAAGCTCGGGCAGGTCAGTGCTGTACGAGTGTTAAAAGCTTGTGAAATGGATTTCTAAACACTTGACAGCCTAAATTTAAGCCACGGCGAATGGTAAAGCTTAATTAAAATAGTTTTTAGTGGGCACTTTTTTTCGTACATACACAACCTGAAAACATTTTCACCATATGGCAGTCATTTGAAACGTCTGCTCAATACACCATTACTTAACAAGTGAGTTCATTAGCAGCTGGTAGTGGAAAGATACAAGCACCACTAATTGCAGGAAAGTTGTGGATCTTGTGAAGCTTTTGATGTTTATTTGATCTTGTTGAAGGGTATTCACTGTCGATATTTTATGTAATATCGCAGTTCCATCTGCAAGCTACAGTTGGTTCCCGTCATACTTTGTTCTTGTTTGATCCACATTTAACACATTCAGTAGTCTTCCATTAGGAACTATGCCAGATGCACATTATTTTCTGTTAAAGGGAATAGATTGATGTTGTTTTGGGGATAAATGAGCAAGCAAATAAATAATTAAGTCATTAATGAATAAAAAACAGCTTGGAAACCAGTTGAACCAGCATAGACTAGTTGAAGACAGCAAATAAACTACATACAGTACTGTAAAACTAAACTCTTCAGAAATAGCTACTGAATAATATAGTTATGTTTTCTATTTCTCACCACTTTATCATCATGTATTTTTCATGCCATGCCACATTGTGAATGTATGAAATGTATAAATAGTCCTGGTACTGCAAACCTTTTTTAAAAGTATTAAACTTAACATTTATGAAGACTGTAATATCCTACTGAATATAGTACTTGTAGGGCTGCAACAGGTTTTTTTTATTGTTTTGATGTGAAATTTTGAAAGTAAAGTTTAGTTTGAATTTAACATGAATAATACAAATGTATCCATCCATATATAGCAAAGAAACCACTTGACATTTTTTTTTTATTTGTGCCTCAAATGCACTGAATTTTTAGAATGTTTTGATGCTAATAAAAAATGTAGGTGTTGTCAACTCACTGTTGGTAGAATAAAAAACATGCTAAAATTACCTCGGTTTGATTATTTGTCCTTGCAAATATTAATCTGAGGTAAATGGTAAACCCATAATACCTTGGCTGCTTTTAAGCTGACAAATTTATGCAGGGTTGGGAGTTTTTCCCCATCTCTTGTTGACCCATACAACAGCAAAAATCCCTGTGATTACATATGATTTACTCAGAGATGGTGGATTAACAGGGCACATTAAATGACAATGCACACTGGAAAAACTGAAAAGCTGCACCAAAAGGTCAGATCTAAATAAATGTATGCGTGTTGGGACGTTTACAGACTCGACCGCTGCTGCTGCCAGAACATCTTAGATTTGAAAATGATCACTTTCGTGCAACAGAGTTCAGCACCTCAGTGCTTAGCAGGGCTACACAAGTTTTTAATGGGGTTTGAATTATTCATAATGTCTTCATTTGCAAATTGAGTTATTATGCTGTGCATGCTATTCAGAACATAGCCAAAGATTGTAGGTACTACATTTGGTTTGATTTAAAATAAAATAAAAATGTCCACAGTTGTCCAACCAAGTGTTCCCTTGGTATTCCCACACTTTCCCAGTGTTCCCACAGTTTGCCCACACTTTCCACAGTGTTCCTACAGTACCCTCACAGTTTTCCCAGTGTTCCCACAGTGTACCCACATAAACTTTCTCCAGTGTTCCTACAGTACCCTTGCAGTTTTTCCAGTGTTCCTACAGTATACTATACACTTTTCCCAGTGTTCCCACAGTGCTCTAAACATCGCTCAGCGATGCGACAGGGCGCAAACATTACAGTAGAAAATATCGTACACTAGACACGCACATTCACATGCTATTTAAAATGAAACTATTCAGATGGCGCTCTGAATATGAACAGTGTCCTGAGTCAGGGCTGGGTGCCGCAGACAGCCGCCGACTTGCGGCGCCGTTGTGTGTGTACTGTGATAGAAACCTCTGTGTAGAATTCTGAAATGCATGGCATTGCGTGACACTACTCGACGCGTCACCGAGCGGCGCTTGCAGTGTGTGACCCCTTTACAGTTTTCCCAGTGTTCATACAGTATACCTAGATAAAATTTCCCCTGTGTTCATACAGTAATCTTGCAGTTTTCATACAGTGTTCATACAGTATACCCAGATAAACCTTTCCCAGTGTTCCTACAGTACCCTCGCAGTTTCTCCAGTGTTCCTACAGTATACCAAGATAAACTTTCCCCAGTGTTCCC